TCTCTCTCTCTCTCCCTCCCCCTCTCTCTCTCTCTCTCTCTCTCTCTCTCTCTCACACACACACACACACACACAGGCACACACTGACGGTGGCCTGAGGGAAACTTCAGAGGCCCCACGACAGGGTAAGTCAGTCGGCCATCAGAGGGCCATGGTGCAAATATATGGATTTCAGAGGGGCATTTCAAAGACTTTCCCTTCTTTTTGTTTTTTTTTTTAAAACACAATTTACTACGAAATTATGTTCCACTGAAGGCTGGGGACCTCACAATTCTGCCCGGTGTGTACTGGGGCCATTACCCAGCTTCGGCTTGGCTGGAAACGGGGTCCAGCTTCCCAACAGGAAACTCAATTTAGCCTATCTCAACCTAACTCTAAACAGATCTGTTGACGAAGCCTGAACTGCCTAGATGGGTTTCCCACCATGCACCCTTGGATCTTCAAGCCGACAACATTCACTGAGCCAAGATCACGATGGATACCATTCAAGTTTGCTTCCTAAGTTCCTACCCTACTTCTGCTAACTACAGGCAAATAAAGTTCCCACCACTGACAATAGCACTCTCACTGCCTCCACAGTGCAATATTCTCTCTCAGGCCCTGTTGTTCATGAGTGGATGACAAAAATTGTGTTTTCGAAAATGTTTTATCTACCCCGGGAAGCTACCACAACGAAATGCAATGCCTTAAGTAAGCACAGACAGAGAAACCCTACTATTTAGAAGCCAAGACTACAACAGATATTCCCAAGTTTTGGGCCTTGCTTCTATATTCAAAGCACTGAAGTATTGCGGGTTGCACTGGGGTATCAGTAGATAATACGAGTCATTCTAATCCGCCTCAAAATCTAGCTTTTACAGACGGCCAGATACCCCACCCAAAACTCCAAGTGGCTGCCGTGCGATCTAAAGTGGAGAATGAGTAGGACCAACTTGAGAGCACCGGATAGACGGATCGATCTGGCCCAGAGCTATGGCCAAAAGCTCTTCGTGTACTAGTCTAACATCTACTAGCCCACATCTACGGCCACGCGCATGACAGGAATGCCAATTATATCTCCTATAATTAAGACACTCTTGAAGGACAGGTTAACTACTCACCTCAGTCAAGTAGGATGCCACCATATAGGCAATAAGAGAGCAAGAGAAGTACTACTACAATGAATCTATCCCAAAGGCATGGATAGGCGAAGTAAACAGCAGATGAATTAAAATATCTCCTAATATCACTATATGCAGGCAGAGATGTGACGAACTAGTTCCCGAACCCGTGCTACCTTTCGTACCCTTTTTTTGCTTGTATCATACTAACCCCATAAAAACCCCGTTTCGTTTTCTTGATTTCGGGTGCCGCGTTTTGGGCCCCTACGATTCCCGGGTTCTGGTTTTTCTTTTTGCAATTCGGGAATTACATAGGAATTTACGTGCGCCTTAGCGAGCGCACTGGGAATTGGGCCCGACAGTTGGGAATTCCGGGATAAGCGGAACTTCGACGTGTCCTTTTTGTGTGTGAATGTTCTCGGTCGTGTTGGGGAAAACTCTCGGAATTTTGTGGGGATACGAATAGGCGTAGGACTTTCTTTTCCCGCGTCGCTCTTTGGCGCACGGATATGGTGATTTCAATTTTGAATTGGTTTAGGATGTAGGCAAGTTGTAACTGTTTTGGTGCCTTTTTCTTTTTTTTTTGTTGACGGTGCCGCGCATGCAAATCTTTCTCCTCTCTGTCCCCCGCATCGCTCTCTCCCGCGTTCCTTTTTCCTTCCTCCTCCTCTTCCTCTCTCCTCGGAACTGTTTTTCTCCCTCTCTCTCTCTCCCGCTCTGCTCTTTGCGCGCCCATTTCCCTTTCTTGATCATCCGAACCTTGGACCCGTCTTGCGCTACTTCTCGCGCCTTTTCTTTTCTCGCCCTTCGAGCAAAGCTTGCGAAGTCCGGTCGATCCTTCGATTACTCTCGCCCACCAATCAGACGCGTGGTACGGTAGGATCTGCCTATTGCGCGACAAGTCTGATTGGCCAATTGCCGAGTTCCGAAGGATCAGCATGGCTTCTGTAGCGCGCTTCTCGCCAAGTCTTCTCCTCCTGCTTCTCTTCTTACACTTCGACTTTCCCCCTGCCTTCTCTCTCCCTTGTCTCCCTCCTCGCCATTATAAATTCCGCAAACGCGCCCGCAAATCTCTCTTACGTTCTCGACTCCCAAGCCAGCTTCCGGGAAGCAGTGGCTAGGTAGAGTGTTTGGTGCAAGTCGGAAAGTCCTGTCGGGCTGACAATAGGCTGGACGGTTGCGCGCTTGATCGCCACGACGGACTGTGGGATCTGGGCGAACCGCGTCGAGTTTACGTCGGCGGGGTGACGATCGCAGTGGTGGGAGTTAGCATGCGACGGCCGGGATCGTCGGTGTGGGTATGAGGATCGATGATTGGAGTTGAGTGACTGATTGACCCAGGGCCATATTGGAATTCACGGCGAATACGCCTTTGTTGTTGCGGATCTTTATCTCTGGCATGAGTGTACGGCGGCAACGCCGAACTTCCTTTTTTTTCGGATCTTGTCATCTCCTATCTCGATCTTCCTCCCTCGTCTCTCTTTCTCTTTTCTATCTTTCAATGACGATGTGTCTTGATGCTTGTTCCTCTCGTAAATGAGAATGAATTTGTATGCTTTCCTGCGTGAAGGAACTTTTTTCGGAACTCTTCCATTAGTTTCCTGGGTAATCCCCGGCAGTCGAGGAATT